TCTAACCGGCCTTCTGGCATTTTATCAAATATGCTCTCAAAGTCTGTGAGGAACATGGAGAAAACAGGGGCTGGAATGTTGAGCGTCGGTGCAAAGACAATGCCAACATTTCTGATTGTCATCTTGTTCACATCGGAGTTGTTGACAATGATAATCAAAAACTGAACTAGTGCCCGTAATAAGGCCAGGTTTGGTCGTGGGAGCCTGTGAATAAGTGAATTAAATGCCAGGATTTTCTTCTGCCGCTCATCCAATTCTAAAATAGGGTTTGATTAGTATAGCGCCTCAAAGCGAAGTGGAAAGGAAAGAGGGAAGGAAACTGCACGTACCAAGCACACGCAGAAAATCCAGATGTAGTTCACGAGTAAGAACAGTTGTGGGGAGCTCCCGTAAATATTGCTTGAAAAGACTGGCCACAGCATGAACATCATAGTACTCATCACCAGCAAGGAAGTCAACATCCCCTTCAGTATTGAAGCGTTCCTTCAGCGCTTTGACGACCACATTGGAACCGCTTAATCGAAATATACCTTCCTCTGCTGCTGCTCCCTTCGCTTTGAGATACTCAATGCAGCGATAGACAACAGCTGGTAAATCGACGTCAATACCTTGCGGAGCGCAGTGCTGCACAGCCTCCGCCAAGGGTATTCCGAACACAGGCCTGACGAAGTCTTTTCTTTCTGTAGAAGGATTCACGAGTGCTTGAGCTGACGAAGGTTCTTGGCTCGCCTGTAGCTGCGAGGCAAGATCATACGATGACCTTGTGCGGAAACCCCAGATGCTGCGCTTCTTCTCCTTGGTGCTAGTGACGGTTTTATTGCCCCAGGCCCCTGCATCCTGGATCACTGTACCGTTTGTAGGTCCAGATATCACTTTAGAGGAGAGCTGAACATGATCCAAAGCCGGGTTTGTATCCGAAGATTCCACTGCTGCCTCTAATGGGAACATGGGGGATCTCGGTGGTTGCTTTTCGGATGGAGGACCCAGAAGAGGCGGTTCAGCAGGAACAGCATCATCATAACTGAATCCTTGCACAGTATCGGTCAAGTCCACCTCCGCGTTGTTTATTCCCTTGCCGCTCTTTTTGCTCCCACCGGCGAAAAGTTTAGATTTTGAGGTTGATTGAGAGACATGTCTTGCTTGGGTTGAAACTTGACTCTGCGGCGACATGTTCTCTGTGCCCTCATTATCCGATTGTCCCTCAACATACGCCAGGAGTGCTTCGACCCAAGCATCCCTTTCTTCATCGCTCTCAGCGCAGAGCACGTGCCTCACGAGTGCTGATGAGTCTTTTCTTTTCGGTTCCAATATGAGAAAGGCGTGTCGGTATTGGTTTTCAGAGTCATCTTCGGCCCCGGACAAAGGGTTGTTTGGGTTATTTGTGGGCTGCGATTGCTTGCCGATCTGAGCATTGAAAATCTTGATAGTTCCGAGGTGAGGACCACCTGGCGATTCAAAATACTTCAACTCAGGCCCATAGAGTATGAAGTATCGTGCTTTCCAGCCGCCAAAATTCTTGCCCCTTTTTGTCAAATACCCTTCCTTTTGGGGTTTTCCATCTTGACCTGGCAAAGCTTCCGAGGTCGCTTTACTGTTGCCCTTCAGCAAATTTGACTCGTCATCTCGCGGCTCGATTGCATCCAAAGTGAGAAATTGGCAGATCGCTAATGCCGCTCTCTCGTCTACGGGTGTGTCAAGCAGAGCTTCGAAGTAGGAATTCAAGGCCGCACGTCTCGCGTCGATTTTCGCAGGGGAATGACCGCTGAAAACCGATCTATCTGGCAGTTTCATCCACAAAGCAGACGATTGTCTTATCTGTTGATCCAGCTGCGGGAGGGCCGCGACGACTTTCTCTACGCGCCAAAGTTCTAGGTTCTCTGACCGCGAAAAAACACCCAAGGTGAATACTGGCTCTTCTTCGGAAGGCTTTGGTGCCATATAGCTGTTTCTAGAAGGCCTAAGTCGCGACGAGGAGACCTTCACTCGTATCAAAGGAAGAGCGTTTGGGGGCAGAAGTAGACCGGGGTAATCCTCCGACATCAGGCCTTGATATATCCCGGTGGCCGGAGGGCAGGGCGACGGAGGATTGTCCGTTCTCGAGCCATGGTTGATTGTGGAAATAGGCTTGTGGGTAGCATCAATATGCGAAGGACTAGTATCAGTAGGCATCGAAGCTCCGGGAGCAAAGGGATTTGGATGATGAGTAGCGCGCGGGGACAGGGCCAACCCTGCGAGGCTATTCTCTGAAGACATCGGCAGATGTGCCAATGAGTTTGGCACTTCCCTGGGCATCCGGGGCAAGGGAGAGCCTATAGGGCGATCTTCTGGTCTTGGGCTGAGAGGCAGTCCCGGACTTTTTGGCACTGCGAATGCGGGTTGATCGTTCAAAGATGGCGCATGAATGTTTCGAGGGCTTTGAACAGAAGTCAGAGAATCCTGATGTTCAATTGGAGGGGACGCCGAAATGGGTTGCCACGAGTCCTTAGTTATCCCGAGTGTCAGTCCACTGGTAGACGTTTGGCCTGAAAGATATGTTTGTGGTGTCTCTTCTCCAGTAGCCTTAAGAGCGCCCATTTCCCTGTCAAGGGCTGCTTCCCGTTCTCGATCATCGTCATCCCTCGTTTTCCGCCTACCACGCTCAACCGGCAATTCGTCGACCTCAAGAATATCTTCGTAATCGGATTCTGAATCATAAATGCCCGAGTTCTCCATAGCTGCAGGCTGTGCTTGTCCCAGCTTCAGTGGGGCAGGAGGAGGCTTGCGGGAAGGATGAGGAAGTCTCTGTTGTCTATCCTCAGCTGGGAGGGTCTCGTTCAGAGCTGAGCTAGAACTGGCCAAGGAAGTTGGGCTCGCTGCTGACATTTCTTTCCGCGAGTAAGCGAGCGATTGCGAATTTAATTGCTGATCGAACTCCTCTGTTTGTCCAGGTCGCGCGTTGTCAAACTCAGTGGTCAATGTCGTATTCAGGCGCGGAGAGCCTGGTCCGGCAGGAGACAGACGATCTGTTTTCGCCCTCGGGGCGAGAACGGGGCTGTCGCAGAGATCCTGCATGCCCACATTCGTGCTCTTCGCCTCTGATGATTCGCCCTGGGCCTGTTCTTGCTTTGATAGATCATGACTGACACGGATGGCCCCATTATCGGCACCTCGAGACTGAACAATGTGATCATTATTGGATGGCACCGGAGGTATAGAATTCTGTAGTTCTTTGGCATTTTTCTTATATCGCTCCTTCTCTTTCAAGGCACGCTCAAGATCCTTATTCAGGCCAAGTATCAAAGTCCGCTGCTTGTCCACCAGTCTCCAGAGTTGCGCATTCTGAGAGGCTGCATGATGCTTCTCCTTCAGAAGGTGTATGATAACAGCCTCGGGCGATCCCGCGGTTGCTATAAGGTGATCGATGTCGGCTTGGCTGACCGCGCTAGCATCGAACGACGACTTATGGTGTTGAGATGCTGACGACAGAGAAGAGATTGCAGAATCAATTGATGAAGTGCGGGGCATAATACGGTGCCCCGGTGTTCTGTCCCCAGACATTGATTGCAAGGAGTCCAGTAGTGATACTGGAGATGATGTCGTTGACTGCACCGAGTCGCCTGTATCCGATAATTTGCGTGCTCCGATGTCGTTTTCTATCGCAGTCATACCTCTACCATGCTGTTTCAGGTCACCACGCGCCCTATCGCCTGCCGACGATGTGGTCGACTTCTGGCCAGAACCGGATGGTTTTGAGGGCAATGCAGCAAATGCAGCATGGGCTATCCGGCTGGTCGAAGAATGGTTGGGCGGCGGAGCTGTTTTAACGGATGATCGAGGAGATACAGGACTCTGTAACAAGCTGAAATTGTCTTGACGGTCTTCTCGACAACAGTCACTTGTATTCAAGGGGGAGGGCGTTGGTTTGCGGGGGGCAGTAACAGCGACAACCCCAGGACGTAAGGGCTGGGTGTCGGCTCGCGCAACTAAGTAGTCACGAGGAATAAAATTTCCTGTCAACGGGGAACGTGGGAATTCTGCATCCCTCGTCTTGGGTGAAACGGAGTACGCTGCAGATGGCTGGTCGGGACTGGGATTGTTGTCGCTGCCGTGCCGAAGCTGCGACATGGCGAGCTCGTTAAGGAGTCGAAGCTCAAGTCAGCATGAGGAGGGTGAGGAGCCGGGCAAATAATGATTCGACACTAAGGAAAGCCGGTCGGCAAAGACTTAGGGGTTGGCGCCAGGGGTCGCACTTGAGGACAAATAATGAATGGCTATTGATCAAGCTCCATTTAATTAGTATCCGTGTGCTAAGTTTGTCGTATTCAATGCGTTGCCAGTGTTGAAATATCTCAGGCTGGCATCACTCAGATGAAATTAGGGATACATGATAAAGACATGGTCTTTCCCAAAAGAAGAAAATAGCACAATGCCTATCCATTGAGAAGTATTAGTCTGGCAATTAGTCAGATCTAGGGCAATAGTGATAATGATTTATTATTATTATGGGGGTGCTTTAATCATGATTGTTACCCTATAAATGATTTATGGCATGCTCTGGGGCAAGGGAGCCATATTACTCTATAATGACTTCTATAACTTTGACATACTCTGTTGCTATTCACTGATACGGAGAAGGGAGGACGACATCTCTTGCGTTTTGTGCAAGTTATCTTCTACCATCTAAGGTCATCATTACTGAAACAACACCGGCACCTGTAAATTCTTTTTGATGCTTAGACTGTGCCTTTCTCAGAATCTTGGCCATTAATAGCTGTAGAAGCTCAGAGCTCAACACAGAGACAGAGTAAACAAGTCCTAAAAAGGAGAAAGCAAGAGTTTGCTCTAAACAGTAAGTGTTTAACAGGGAGAAGAACTAGACACAGGCCTGATCTACCTTTCGAGGGCTTGATATGAAAATGGAGGGGATTGTCTCTATAACGCCCCGTGCCGCAATGATCTGCCGTCCTTCCCAGAAACCCAGTGTAACGCCATAGAAATACATAAGAAGATACATACATAAATCATGCTATGTTTCCAGCCATTCCCATGAATATTGCCTGAGCGGCCAGCTGAAGAGACCAGAAGCCAACCTTCTTGAAACGCCGTTTGCGCGCTTGATCATCAACCACATCCCGCGCAAACGCATCATATACCTAGAGAAAACAAAATGAATCAGTATGTATAAATACCAATCGCGCGTGGAAGGCTTACCGCGGCCGAAAGGTCATCCATGAGCCCGCTGTCAAAGGTCGTCCAACTACCGTCAAAGTCCGCAAGTCGTTTGACAAGACGGCAATGAATGGGAATGAAAGTTCGCCTCGAATTGATGTAGGCCACAATGGGGCGTATCAGCGCATTGTTTATGTACGAAAGATCTCGGGTAAACAAAGGCACCACTGCCCTAACATTGTTCAACTGAAGCCGCAGATCAGTGACTAAAAAGCGTCTGTCGTCGCTCGAAGCAGTATCGTCCATTCCAGATTCACGGCGTGAGTCTGACTCATGATATTGGTTGGATGTGACGGTTGCTTCTAACCGATCGTAAAGGCCGGCCATTACTTGCGCCAGACTTTCATCATTTTCAGCCGGAAACATTATGTCGGCAACGATATCAACGCTTCCCTCATGTATCCAGGAAAAGGGACCTTGTACCCCCCGATTGAGATGATCGATGTTTAGCCCATCGATGCGTATCCTGCTGTGCTTTTTCCATGGGCTGGGTTTGCCATCCGCCTCAACGTTATTATCCATCTCGGCGCCCGCAAAGCTGTGACTTTGCCGCGGGTGGATAGTGAACAAGGAATTGTCGAAAGACCCTGTCATCATGTTCGCCGACATGAAGTCATAGAGAAGCCATTGCTTTCTCAGTTGTGGAAGATCGCATGAGAATATACTCACAGAGAAAGGCCTGAAGTTACCCGGCTGGTAGACCGTAACAAGGACATCGCTCATCTTGAACGAGCCAATCTCAAAGTCTCCAGGGTTATGTTCGTGCCGATAAGATTTTGGATCCAAATGGTCGTCCGACCAATGAACAGATCTTCGGTCGACAACTCCTCGAATTCCCTTGACCTCGACATCACGCAGAAGCCCTTTTCCATTGATCCATTTTGTGAAAGACAATGTAACGTTAACTGTTTCAATGGACACGTCAAACTGCGTGTAATTCGTATCCTCCTCATCGGGTATCGATTGCTGATCCGCAAATGGCTCAGGGCTAGAGATTCCGCTCAGGGCGGCAGCGGCAGCCACGGCAGCTGCAGTCTTCGACGAACCCTTACTGACGTGTCCTGTTCCCTGTCCCGGTCGTCTTGAGACGAACACGTTTTTGAACGTTATGACGCCGTCCCTCCATTTAGGAACAATGGCGGATTCAAAGACAACCTTCACTCCCGATGATTTGGTGAGGTAATTGCCCACCCACCCTGCCAGTGTTTCTTATAAGTGTTAGCACATATAGATCGAGTTAGACCGTCAGTCAATGCCTTGACACATACCTTGTGCCAACACCGTATTTATCGCGATTATCAGCAGCGAAACGAACGTGGTGGTCCCTAGGACGATCCATACAACATGACCCAGCAGGACCCATGAAAAGAGTGCAGTAATCTCGTCAAAATTGAAGGGACGAACGCTACGGATAGAGAACCACTTGAATCGTACTTTCAAACGAGACCAAAAGCCATTGGCTGCAGCTAGCAGTTCTTCTTTCGTAGGCCGATGCAAATGTGACATGTGGGGCAGACGGTTCATGATGTGCCGGCTTGTGAATCCCTCAAAGTGCTCCTCTTTTAACTTCAAATTCCCAGACCGAGCATCGCTATGCGCAGTTTCCCGAGACGGAGAGGGAGAAGTATTCTTATCATTACCAAGCGGCTCATTCGGGTGCTCTGACTTTGACCCATCATCCCTGTTTGTGTGCAAACCTCTTTTCCATGTGTATAGGGACGCGCAAACAAATTTCCTATCGAGTAAGTGACTTTGCGTGATGAATTTTTCAGGGCCAATTGCGCAAGATGTCCCAGCCTCTACTGCACATGGACTTGGGGAAACCCCGAGCATAAGAAAGCCACCAGATGCAAAGCGCTTGGTAATATGTCTCGTCCGCGGCGGCAATGACGATATCTTCCGCACATGGGCATTGAAAAGAAATCTTCGGAACCAATTTGCTGTTTTCGGTGACTCGAAGAAAAAGGTCATGCGGCTGTTCCGGAGCTCACGCCCAAGCAGAGGATGAGCTGTGTCCCAGATACTGGTGTACAGCCTGCGTCCGAAGTTGAAGGACATGATTCCCGTCACATTCTGAACATTTTCTTATAAGAAGTCAGTCCACAGAAACAGGATGTAGAAATAACCTCCGTAGTATAAAAGGCTGCAAAGGTTAGAAGCAAAATAAGGTGGGAAATACTTGGACTTAAGTTCCACAATGAAAAGTAGAGATGTAAATATGACACATTTTGAGAAGCTTCTCGCCTGCCCAGACGTGAATCTTTCCATGAAATCATCCCGCACACCAGATGTTTGTCTCGTTTGCAACTAAAAAATCCACGACCCACATGCAACATTTCCCTACCACTGCCCATAAAATTTGCGATAACAAGCCCCTCAAGTGATCGTCTGCGAATCCTATCTAATCCTATCTACAGAGATTCAATACTTGAGATAGCGATAGATAGACGACGAGAATGCCAGCACCGACAGCGCTTCTTCGAAAGTCTGATGAGCCACTCTCGGCCGAAGAGCCATCTTTGGCTTTTTCTTCAGGTTTGTTCAGTCACTGACTCGATCTGTACATTCGCCTAACAGTCTCAAGAGCAAGACGATGAGATTTTGATAGATGCACAAGCATCCGGCCAGGTAGAAGCGGTAGCATCATCTCTGATTCCCGTCGAGTCTACCCAGGACAGCAACATGCGCATTGATGAAGAAAGCCGACCAGTGTTTACACCAATAGCGGATGCCGGGACCGTGCTGCGAGTTGAAACTCGAAAGGTGCCAGTTCCTCCTCACCGTATGACGCCCTTAAAGGCGAATTGGCCCAAGATCTACCCGCCCCTGGTTGAGCATCTCAAACTACAAGTGCGAATGAACATCAAGAACCGAGCGGTCGAACTGCGTACCTCTAAATTTACCACCGACACGGGAGCGTTACAGAAAGGCGAAGATTTCGTAAAGGCGTTCACCCTTGGATTTGATGTCGACGATGCCATTGCCTTATTGAGGCTTGACGACCTGTATATTCGCTCATTTGAGATCCGTGATGTCAAGGCTTCGTTGAACGGAGAACATCTCAGTCGCGCTATTGGGCGAATTGCGGGCAAGGATGGGAAGACCAAGTTTGCCATCGAAAACGCAAGCCGAACACGGGTTGTGCTTCAGGGTACGAAAGTTACCATTTTGGGCAGATTTAGAGATTTGGGGATCGCCCAAGAAGCCATTGTTTCTCTAATCTTGGGTAGTCCTCCGGTAAGTCGTGTTGCGTCATATTTCCCGTCTCAAGAGCAACTGCTAATACATAATAGGGTAAGGTGTATGGAAACTTGCGTAAAGTGGCGTCTCGCATGAAGGAGCGATTTTGATACCTATATTCGATTCTTTTGTTATTTTCTTCTTCGGTTTGACGACAACTTTACTTGGCATGACATAGGCGTTTAGGGTTATGGTAGCCAGTGTTCGAATGCGATACATTTGATGTGATGTTTATAAAAAAAGTTGTCCCAAGCAAAGATATGCCCTCTCATGCTGTCATGACATATTTGGATGGACTGTTATGAGTAAAACAGAACAAACAAGTGAGGGTACAGTAACCCCTCTAGTCTTTCTTCAAAGGTGTATAGATCTCCTCTATCCCACTCTGGGTGATCACCATCATCTGTAATCCATCTCCAACTTCGATATGCCTCTCAACAGCACTAGTGAATGCGTCCCGAACTAGTTGTTCGACCGTCGCCCTTGGTAATGGCTCCGCCTTCTTCGGCTCAAGGGCATGCCCTTCCCCGCTGCCTGGGATGTACTGATTCTTGAAATTAACTTGATTGTCCAAGAATGGCATGATCAAGCTCGCTGCCGACCCAGCTGCTCGGCATTGCTCCCTTTCGTACGAGCCTACTGGATCGTAGCTGTACAGCGCCCCTTTACCTTCCTCGTCCAAGCCTGCGAGGATCGCATGGACATAGTAAGGAAAGAATCGCTTCTGGTAAAGAATAGTCGATAGCCGCTGAGCACAAGCTCGTACAGACATGGGCTTTCCATGCTGGTACTTGTACATCTTTACCACCGCATCTAGCCGCTCCTTGAGTGCTTGGCCATCTGCGGCGAAACCCACGACCGAGAGCAAAATGTTGGCACCCTCCCCTGTCTCAGCATCACCTCCAATCTTGAAAACCTTTGGAACGTAGCGAGAATTAATGTTGTAACCCGCAACAGAACGAGTGTCACCCGCTAGAATCGCAAAATCGGAACCTGTGATACCCAGGGTAGAGCCGCCATTGTCGGTATATCTTAGATAAGAAGTCAGTGATGGTTCAGATAATCATTTAGCATGATCCTGTTACATACGGGTAGAATGAGTGTTCTCTGACTGCGGCGCTGCTTGGTTGAGCAAAGGAATATCCGATGGCCTCACTTTGAGGGTCGTGAGCCATGATCGAGGCCATCTTCGTTGAGAATTGGCTTAATGAATGCGAAAGCGAAAGAAGGTCAGATGTATGATCTTATGGACACAATGGCTGCTGTATCGTAAGTTGTGCGATCTTGAGGGTGAGTGTGGTTGTGGTGAGGATGAAGGTTGGTCATTAAGTATTAAGGTATCTGACGCGATGCTGTAGCTGCCTTCTGCTTAGCTAATTCCATAGCTTCCGCCACAGGTGGCTTGATGTGGCTGATTTGCTTGAGTTGGTTAAACTGGAACATAATAATGAACACCGGAAATAATCAAACATAGCTTTTGCTAATTTGAGTCGCAAGTATCCTCTCTGAATTGATTTATTCGGTGAAGGGTTTAATCCTGTGCACCGGTAAGAAACAGCCGGTTAAGGAGCCTCTTGAACAGCATCCCTACACTCCTTGAAGAATGACGAGCTTGCTGGGTCTCGGCGGATATCAAAGCAGTAGCGAGGATGAGGGTGAACCCAGACATTCTTCACCAACGCCGAATGTATAGGCTTTGGATTGCTAGTCTGATATCCGTTCGCTAATATTGAATTTCAGATCCAGCACAATGACCAGGGAACTAAAGCATCAAAGACCACAGGTCGTATAAGTAAGCCTCCGTCTTCTCCCGGGTATTCTCTAGCTGGAGCAAAGCCTAATGTTACGATATAGCTCAAACGGGAAACACCAACAACCATAATCTAACAAATGAAGCTCCTCTCAAGGCACTTAGTGGACCCATTATGGGACCGCTACACGATGAAGCGCCGTCTTCCGCAGACAAACTTCCAATTGATGCGCAATTGTCCCCTACCTCAGCAGCACGCACATTGATTCATGATCTAACTCTACCTCCCGTGGCGAATCTGGACATTCCCCCGTCTCCGCCTGGTTCACCGGAGCCCATGGCTAATGCGAAGTTTGCCCATTTTCTCTCATTGAAAAAGCAAGGTACACATTTTAATGAGAAGTTAGCAAATTCATCGTCACTCAGAAACCCCAGTCTCCTACGAAAGTTGATGGATCATGCAGGGATTGACGAGCAAGCGCAATACAATACTTCTTTGCCTGCTGAGTTGTGGAATCCCACTGGTTTACCGAGTTGGGGTTACAAGGAGGAACTGTTGAAGTCACAGAAAGAAAGTAACTACGAGTTCGAAGAAAGGAGGCGTACGGGACAGAGGGAAACCATTGATTTCGTGCCTTCCGTCACCATGGACTCCAGCATTACGTGACCTATCTGTGTATAGATATGTAGAAGCAATTGGGAAAAGCATAAACTTTTCAAAAATCCAGAGTACTTTGCATTGAAAAAGTAGCTAGGAAGAGATCAGCGGATCATCTAAGATTCTTCCAGGAATCCTACACATATGCGAATTGGTTCATAGAGATATATCCACTATCCTATCATGTTTATCAAACTCTCTTTTGATCTCATGATTTTAATGGCATTTATGGTGAGGACAACATGCTTTGTATGGAGTGACGCTGTTATAGTATTGAGGAATTCAACGTCTAGGCGCGTGGCCATGTCCAATGGCGGGTGACATAAGGCGCTAACGTAACCAGAGCTCCGTAAGCTCTCCTGCCTAGCTCGACCGAACCCTGCATCATCGCATTCCTGATAACTGTCTAACCGCCTTACTCCTGCTAAATAAGCTGCGCACCTCTTCTTGCTCCATTTACATTCATTCCACCTCGACTGAATTTAGCTCGTACCCTCTCCACGAAACGCTCAAGTGTAGCTTTCATCATGAATCATTTTCCTGAAGCCTGGGGCCGAGTGAGTACCCCATTCCCCCAGTTCTTATTGTAGTACTAATAAGTCTCCTTCTCAAAAGCCAAGAGACGATGTATATGGACCTTACAATCCGTCATACCTTCAGACTTCTGGCCTCAAGTCACATACACAGTCTCCGGCTGTGACGGGCACGTCGGTAGTAGCGGTCAAGTTCAATGGAGGAGTTGCAATCGCCGCCGATAATTTGGGTACGTAGAAGGGGAGATCTGCTTTGCGGCATACACACAACTGACCGAAGATCCTGTCGATAGCATCGTATGGCTCTCTTGCTCGGTTCTCCGACGTCAAGCGTCTACGTGTATTTGGTGAATCTGCTGTCATCGGATTCAGTGGTGACGTGTCTGATATGCAGCATATCGACCGCCTTTTGGAGTCAATTGACATCCGGGAGAATTACTCGACCCATGGCAACACGCTGAATGCGAAAAATCTGCATACCTACTTGTCCAAGGTTTTCTACAAGCGACGTTCTGAGTTCAACCCACTGTGGAATCAAGTCCTTGTTGCTGGGTTCGACGGTAACAACCAGCCTTTCTTGAGCTCTGCAGATTTGCTCGGAACAACATTTTCAGCCCCACACCTGGCTACTGGATTCGGTGCCCATCTCGCTGTTCCGATCCTGCGTCGACTGTTTCCCGAGGAAAGGCCTGTTGAAGAGATCACCAAGGAAGAGGCGGTGAAGGCGTTGAAAGAGTGTCTCAAAGTTTTGTGGTACAGAGATGCACGGAGTCTCGACAAATTCTCGTTGGCAGTGATTACGAAGGAAGGAGTGGAGATGCATGAGGACCAGAAGATTGAGAAGCAGAGCTGGGCATTCGCCGAATCCATCAGGGGATACGGAGCTCAGGTCAACTGATTTTTGAACGGGAGTTCATCGCTTGAGACTCACTGGAGTGATAGAGTCCATAAGAGGATGACGCTATGATAAGGGCCTAGCATCCTGAACGATCTCTAGAAACACTGATGATATCTAACATTTCAATTATGCTATTCACTCAGCTTTGCAAGTCATTTACAGATCTGTCGTAATCGAAGCCTAGAGGGAACATGGTTCCCCTTAAAGCTTAGCAGAGGGCCTGTCAAAGACAACTTGGTTCACGCATGATCCCACTCCTTCGAGAGACACTTCAACCTGATCACCGTCTTTCAGCCAAAGGGCGGGCTTTCGGCCCATGCCCACGCCCTGCGGGCTGCAATTAGGCAAAAGGTTAGCTTCCCTCAATCATATAGTGTATCAAGAAATGAAAATAATGAAATCGTAAGGCAAAAACTCACGTTCCGGTGAAGATCAGATCCCCCGGTAACAGGGTGGTGCCTTGAGACAAAAATGCCACAACCTTCGCAACGCTGAAAATCATGTCCTTAGTAGAGGAAGACTGAACGACCTGGCCATTGAGCTTCGTCGAGATATGAAGTGCGTTGGGATCACGGATCAGCCGCGAGGACACGATGCCTGGTCCAAACGGCGCCCAGCCATCGAAACCTTTCCCAAGACCCCATTGACCGCCCCCTCGCTTGATCTGCCAATCCCGATGAGAGACATCATTACCCACGGCGTAGCCCAGCACGTGGTCTAGAGCCCGGTTCTCAGGGACATCTTTGGCTTCCTTGCCGATGACGATAACGAGTTCACATTCGTAGTCGAGACCTTCGCCTTCTTGCGCCATAGTAGATATCGGAATGATATGTGTGGGGCCCGCGATGGACGTGATGGGTTTGTAGAATAGAACGGGATATTTTGGGATGGGGAGGTTGGACTCTTTCGCATGTTGCTCATAGTTCAAACCCAGGCAGCGGACCGTCCTAATATCTTTCCTGGCCAGAGGCGCAAGAAGCATCTTAACCTCGGAGACCTTGTCTGTGACACAGTGCTGACCGAAGATGTCACCTTGGATCACCTTTGCCTTGGTCACTTTGGCAAGGTCGCTGACGCCCGCCGGGAGAATGGCATCACCGTAGTAAACATGGCCGTCTTTGGCCAAGAATCGAATGAGTCGCTGTCCGGAGAATAGCCATATGGATAAGCATTGAACGACCATTCAGTTCTACTACGGGATTGGGCTATTATGAAATAAGGGAAGCAATTGCTGTCCTGCCAGTGAAGTGAAGGGAAAGAAGGCTGGTCTTCGTATGTAGCTGTAAGATAGGACAGATGGCAAATGCGCCATACTTACAGAAAACGTAGACATGTTGACGTCTTCAATTGGTCATAGGAACCAGGTGTATCAATTGGATCTTATAGATAGGCGGGTATATACACTTAGCATGCAGAGTACGTAAACAGGTACGAAGTGGGATAGTTGGTCTAGTTCGGAGATAGACTATCTAGAGTTAGAATATATATACTCGGCACATGGTTTCTCGGCCGGAACAGGAGCTACCTAAGGTAGTAGCCGCTTCCCCCGTCCCCAGACCGGCGGAGGTCGGAAATCTGGACTATAGACTAGATAGTTGCTAAACATTCGGATTTGCTCTCTGTAATATTATGTAGGGTTGTTGGGGATTCATTCACAATTTCACATTTCCGTGCCTGTTTGGCCGCAACTCTTCGAGTATTGCCCCAGTGTGTGGTCTGATCTTGCTTTTTGTTCCGAGGTGTATTCAAGGAATTTGGAGATGCTAAGCTTTCATCCGGAACTATCTTCGGGGGCCAATGGCCGCTTGATCGTCAAAACCAGGTTCTCGAGGACAACCAACATTCATGACTCAACTTCGTTCGAACATCAGACTAGGACTGTCCGTACTAAGCTCTCCAGTCAAATTATAATACGCCATCTGAACCGATGGCCCGTCTATCAGGTCTTCAGAGGGAGGTCCTGTCCCTCTATAGAAAGTGTCTGAGAGAAATCAGGAAAAAGCCTTCAGTGAGTCTCCTCCTTAAAGCACACTTTATATGACTGAGTGACTAGGCTACATGATGAACCCGCCAATATAGCATTCTTCTTGGCTGATTGAACGGATACTGTAGGAAACAAGGAGCAATTTCAAAGCGTACACAAGGTATATCAAGAAGAGATTCTAGCAGTGTGTTTGACAGAGATCTTGAATGCACGCAATCCCGAGTCCAATAAATCCGCTAACTCCCCCACAGAGCAGAGTTTCGAAAGAACATGTCTGTCAGCAAGAAGGACTTTAGTGCCATAGAATATCTACTGCGCAAAGGGAACAGGCAGCTTGAGATGTATTCATCCCCTGGTATCCGAAACATCCGGTAATCGCGGCGCGCGTTCAGCTATGAAATGTTCGCGATCAACAATCAGAAGCATCGATCTCCCCGGCTATCCTCAAAGCAAACTACCAACGACCATGACGATGCAAATGTACGATCGGCGTCATTGGATTAGGACAGCCTGCTCCGATGCATCAAGAATCTCGCGCAGATCACGTGACTTATCTGAACGTCGAAGGTTCTCGCATCTTCCGAGGCAATTCCATCAATTCATCCGCGAAACCTCGAGAGGCAGCTCGAGAATTCGAGTCGTCGCATCGACAGCCAGGAAATGCCGGTAGCTTCTAGACACCCATTACGTCTCGACAACATGGAGATACCAGTGCTTTCTAGAATAGCATTCGACCATTATAAAATAGTCACTCAAAGCCTCTTGAATGCAGAGCATCAGATTACAGATAAACATTGTTGAACACAAAGCAAGATCCTAATACATTCTTCAAGCTACCTTCGTTGTCGCTCTTAGCCACCAGTTGCAATTTTCTGGAATAACACAACACTACTTGTTTGTCCTACTACTACCAAACATGGCATTCCCACGCTTTTCGACCGACCTGGCTCCCTTGTTCCAGCTCTTGGATGACTACGATGCTCATCGTACCTATCGCCCAAAGAGCAAGGTCACACCTGTCCGGACATTCGCACCCAAGTTCGATGTGTGCGAGTTCCCAGATGGATATCGTCTCGACGGAGAACTTCCCGGCGTCAACCAGAGCGACATCGAGATCGAGTTCAGTGACCCACAGACTCTTGTGATCAAGGGTCACGTAGAACGCAACTACGACAACACCGCTACCGAGACGGGGGACGACAGCTCATCCACAAAGTCCCGCCAACCTACAGTTGAAGACGAGACTGAAGAGGGCACTGCCTCCTCATCGCCAGCTAAGCCAGCTGAGCAGTCTGTTACAAATTCAGAGATGCAGACAAACTACAAGTTCTGGGTCTCTGAACGCTCAATTGGCGAGTTCCAACGAACCTTTGCCTTCCCAACCAGAATCGACCAAGATGCCGTCAAGGCAAGTCTGAGAAACGGAATCCTCTCGATAGTTGTTCCGAAGGAGGCGGCGCCAAAGTTGAAGAAAATCCGCGTTGAGTAAAACAGACAATCAGCGACAACTCTACGTTCGCGGTTTTCTCATGACGTGTTTCCTGCTTCGAATGCGCCTGTACTCGTCCGACGTCTTTGGCTGGCCTAACGACGATATGCAATGATTGATGCTTTTTTCGATTATGTCTTGTGCACAATGCAGACGTATAAATGCCGGCTTGGATGTTTTCATCCTCCAATACTACTTAATGTCCTGGATGAATGATAGTTATGGTATCTTCATAATTCTATGAATGAATATTCTTGATTAACTATTTTCCAGTAGGCACATGCTACAGTAAAGTAACTATGAAATCCAGCTCTGCTAAATTATCACTAGCCGGCCTTGCATACTCTAACTATTTTGTCCACTAAGTTACATCCTCAATCTTTGTTCGAGGATTGCGATTGGGGCGACCGCTGTGGTTGAGAAAGATAGAGGTTTATAAGAACCACCAATAACAAACGGTGCAGATCTATGCATATTAGGTATCCAGAAGCCATGGTTTGTTCTTTATACTCTGTACCAACGTCAGTAAACTTGCTCACTGGGTTCTAGAAGGTATGTATGTCATGAGGATATGTAACACTCACCAAGCCTATCCACAACCTGTGCAGTAGGAGGCATTAGCAATTTCTACCATGGGGCTCATCGTCCTGTCCAGGTGATTCTGCAGGATTCAGATAGATCCAATGCGATCCTCGCAATCATCCCGTAAATCCAATCCAGGGGCCTTCACAAAATATCTATTATGTTTTTAAGATCATTTAGTATGGAGGCCATCGGTTTTCACACACTTTGACTCTGAATTTAGATTTGCATGTGGCTTCTGTAAATCCACTCAACACTAATCATACATCATACAACTTCCTTTATGTATTGTTGACATTGGGAACAAATGCTTCACCGCCACATTGTACGTTGACGCAAGAAGTTCCCCATAAATCCGGGTATCTCAAATTTCAGGCCATGATTCACCGGCCGTTGTGACGCTCCAGGATAGCGGTTCTTCGTGTCTTGCATCTTGGCAGAGACGCATAACTGAAGAAAAAGGAAAAAAAAAAAAAAAAGATAGTCGTGAGAGGAAGAAAGAAAACAGACTTTCGCCCAACGCCATCGACTTTGATCCGGTAATGTCAAATGCTCAAGCAAATGCAACGCTGGATATGACTGGGAACGGACGTTTAAAAAGCAGAAAAGATCGTGGAAGCGCCGTATGCCTCCCAGGATACCAAACTACAGAAGAAAACTAATAAAAACATAAACGGGTAATGCTTCGTACGAGATGAGAGCCGAGGAATGAAAGACGTCTAGAGTCAGATCGTCGATAGAAAGTCGAACAGGTTAAAAGAAACTCATGAAATGAAAAAGATATAAGAGAAAGATGGATCGAGAAACGACGCGCGCTTAGGATAGGATGGCGAGTCAAGTGAAAATGAACGGGGATGTTGCCAGGTAGATGTCGGAACGTTTCTGGGCGTGCGGTTTAGCCATCGGCCATCTTCGGTGCTGGAGCTCGATGCCCCGGCTTTGGCCTCTACCGCGTGCTGGTTCCGATGCGCAGGCACTGTGGTTTTGGTGCGCTGAGCTTCCGAAAGTGTCTGAAATAGGAGACACAGGCAAAGGCGGGGCCTCGATTCCCGGTCGTTGCGACCATATCCTGCCCACTGCCTTTCTTTTTGGGCACGTAGCTCGAGTGCTTGCGGATCTGGAGCCCCTATCATGGGCGAAGTTACTTTCAGATGCTGACCTGAGTAGCCTCTTGCTCTGGAATCTGATGTTGTCGACGGCCTCCTTTGTGTGGTCCAATTGGGAGTGACAGGATGGATCACGCGGGTCACTGGGCTGAGCAGTGTGTTCTTTATCTTGAACACCCCTTGCCGCTTCCAGGTCGGAGTGTTCCATCTGAAGTATCGATGAGTGAGGCGTGCGGTTGGCAATCGGCTCAGTGTTGCGCAACTGCGCACAGTAATGAGTTCGAAAGTGGGTGCGATTGGGATTCTGTGGAAAGGAGTACGACGAGCTTCTACTGCGAGAGGATGTTTCTTGAGGTTCATGGCACATTGTACCTGTGCTCGCTTCAGCCATAAAACTCGCCCTGTGGCCCTGAAGGCTCACATGGCGGCGCATTACAAGCTGATTGTCTGGTTCCTCCTGAATTTGGAAAGTCTTCGTGGTGTCACCAAGAGCGAAAGGGTGATAGACCGGAGAACGTCTTGATGCTTGGGAATCTATAGAGGCTCGAGAACGACCGTCCTGCAGAGACCGAACCGAGGTTGCAGAACTGTAGCCGCTATCAGCTTTTCTGTGGAATCTCGGTGATCTCATTGTGCCGGGTTTCTCTGGGGCAGTTGACATCCCTTGGTGGTCAAAGATTTCTCCATCGTCCGCAACTGATATGCCCTCGTCGTCTATTTCCTTGGAGAACAGATACGGGTCTTGACAGTGAGGGTATATACTTATAGGCGACTTCTCGAATGAGAAAGGACTGGCGGGAAAGTCATCGGGTTTCTTCGAGTCGGGCAGCGACGGGATTCTCAACAATGACGCGAGCGGCTTCTTGATAGGTTGCCCTTCTGACGCATCGTGTAGACACTCTTCCACTACTCGACGGACAGAGCGCAAGGTGGCGTTTTCTGGCGATTCCGAGGTAGGGCTTGCGTCTTCATTGTTTTGACCTACATCTGGGTTGCGCCATGATGCTGCTGACTGCACAGCGTTCTCGTCGGCTTCAGGGGCCGAAGTTTGCGCCTCATCTAATCGAAATCGGTCACTTGGGCTCGGCGATGCCGAGCCATTTACAACTCGCAGTGATCCGAGCTTGAGATTGCCCAGATGTGTGTACTCTGAATCGCTCGGAGTAGGTGGTCGGACCTGGGTAGGCCATTGCGTACAGACGACCTCCTGATCTCTAAGTTGAGAATCCACATGACTGAAAGAATGCCCGTATCCCTGGTCGATCGAAGGTGGAAGCCTTCCGATGGCCCCTTTCACAGATCGTCTTGTGGCAACTCCAGGTTTCGTGAGAAGGGATCTTCGGCGCATCAAGGAAAACCCTTGATTGTCCACCATGAAATGCGTGTTGGAAGAGGCTGCCTCTTCAAAGGCTCGATCATGCATGCAGCCTTGGGCTTTGCCCGGAAGTGTGTGCATTGAGTAGGACCTGGTTGGGTGCACAGATTGGACGTATGACAAATGGTGGCTGCTATGCAGTGTTGCTGGTCGCAAAAGGGCCTGTCTAGAAGGTCGAGCAGAGGTTCGCCTGCTCAAAGAGACCGGGGAACCTAAGTCCGTGCATGGGGACTGAGGAGACGACTCGTCTGTTTCCTCAAAGACGACACAGCTCTCGTTGACCTCGTTCGCAAGACCCCACGGCGCGTCAGACTGGGGAGGACGAGACGGAAACGACTGCGACCTCTGCGCGCGATGATATTGAACCGATGGACTAACAGGGATCGTGGTCCCAGTCCATGGGTTCTGCCAGGGAAGGGCGTCGGTAGTGACCGCTGAAGGTTGACAAGGCGAAATTGCGCTTGTGGGGCTTATGGTCGCATTTTTTGCCGGAGGTTTAGAGAGACGGTTGGAGCGGCGACGCTCATCTTTGCTCTGAACAGAGTGGGAGCTTCCCATGACTTGGTGAATGAGATTGAGAGCAGTTCTGGCTGGGAATGACTTCCCAGGCTCAAAGATGTCGTATGAAGGACATGAATTGTTTGTTTGAGCAAAGGCTTCAAATATCAAGACCGATGTTCCAGGTACCTATAGTCCTATACCTGTTTTCGGAGATTATCAAACCGATTATGTTGTAATTGTGACAGCAAATCAATATAACAGGAGATTGGCGCCGATCGGACTTGATCTTCAGGAGTCCAGGACCTGGAATAGATAGGAAACGCAGACAGAACGGCCAACCAAGCTGGGTATTCTGGACCAGATTTGAGAGTTTCCTGTCGCACAGCAGATGCGGCCAGTGAAAGTGCGAAACTATGAGGAGGACAAAAGGTCCCCGATCCCTCTTCTTGCAAGCGCGCGATGTCAGGGGGACTGCCTTGAAACTGGCGTACACCCGTCGAGACAATGCTAGGCCCACTGCGATCGAAAGATCGCCGTATTAGTTTGGCTGTCAAAGAAACAACAATGATGAAAGGAAGTGACCAATCAAGGGCAGAAGTCGAGTATGTCTGGAGCTTGGGATATAAAAGCAGGTTCATGCGGCAAAGCATACGCAGGATCGAGATAGATACAACAGGATTGGAATCAAGGTAGTTGAATAGAAGATAGAAGGTCAAACAACGAAGGTCAGAGAAGGGTATCACCCATAACAACGATAACACGACGAAGGACAATCACGAATTAAGCCCAAACTTTCTCCTGAAGAAACAAAAAGGAATAAACAAGAAGGGGCCGGTGGGGGGAATATTAAGATCCATCGTTGAGCTAGAGAGAGAAATGAGACGCGCTGCCATGAGCCAGAAGCTGCAAAGAATACACAAGCATGACGAATGCGTTTGTACAGCCGCAGGAATAACAGGCAGTGTAGCATCCAACTAGACAGGAAAGGTACCTTGGTCCATACCATACATAGGTAAGGTTAGCGGTAGCAAGTACCTATCTTGCAGTTGCAGGCCGTCCAGAGAGAGACCAGACCAGATGGATCGACAGTCAACGTTGGCTCTTGGCAGCAAGCGGATCCACCGGACAAGGACATTGTCATCCATTCATTCTACTAATCCGATTCATTTTAGAAAAGAAGACGTCAATCTATGGTGCATGGGGAAAAAGTACACGGTTCACCGAGGCCAGGTAGCTTAGATGGGGACAAGAGACGACATCGTCATGGCCGAACACGGACAAAGAAAGTACCTTCGTACAATTATTCCACCTTGTTAGAGAGGTACTTGGTAATTTAATGTAACCATCCACAAGCTGACAGCTACATTCCTAACGATTATCTATGAATCAAGCTCGAAACCAACGGGAAACATGGCAAATTACTGGCTAATGACTGGTTGGTTATTAGAAGTGGGTAAAGGACTAAAGGTACTCTCCTCTTTATCTCACGTTTTCGGATCATCACACCATGAATCCGTGCAACAACAATGTTACTTAGATAGGCTAGCTCAAGAACGACCTTGGAAGTTGGAAGTTGGAACAGTGGGAGTAACAGGACTTGGGAAATTGCGCAGGTAGTCCCCGTTATCTATTCTTGTATTTCTTTCTACCTTTACCTGAATGATAATAGGCAATTAAAGACGGACATTGGAGAGCGTGGTCTAGACGATTGGTTATCAGTTAGTTCATTCAGGTCTTAACTACTAATTGTTAGGTGGTGTGGCGGTGGGAGACACTGAAAACCGAAAGAACATCAAAGGTCGTCGCAAACAGCATGTGCAAGTGAAACAGCCACCGCCTCCACTCCGACTCTCAGAGACATCCATAGATGATAGATCGAGCTCAGATCGTAATCTTCACTGTCATTGGATAAGTGTTACATAGAATCATGCTTACAGAATCTCAGACAAAAGGTGGCTCTGAAGTACCTTCACTATGGGACCCGGTGTGCTGGAGGTCTCGGAATCATAAAGGATAATTTTAGACGAGATTAGATTTTGTGGATAGTTTTAAGATCTCGATTACACAATACCATTGTTGTATTCTTAATCCAATTAATCGTTGAGTCCCGGGTACTGCGTGGTTCGAAACTATTTTCCTCTTACGCCAACTGGCAACTGCTCGCCGCGCATCATCTATTCTATGCTATCCACTTCTTCTCTTCTACGATAAATGCTTTTACGGTGACGACATATCTTGTTTAACCCGAAATGCTATATGAATCATCACCACTGCTAATTACCTAGATACTGGATAGGCAGCAGAAGGAGCATCACTACAGAGTGCAGTCCCTCTCTGCCTACCGTTCGGAAGCTTTCCGTATCCGGAGGTTGTTTTGAACTCTTGGGACGGGGACAGTCTAATGCATACCTACCGCACAGCTGCCTAAGGACTTCTGCAAACAGCAACCTACCTTTGATCAATGCCAGATGCCAGCCCGGAGTTCTGAATGCGTCGTGGGAAATCTGGATTGACAGTGGCAACTGAGTCGGTGTACAGTGCGTCTTCACTCTGCCCTGCAACGCAAGAGCTTCTGCAATCGCTTTTTGTCGGCTACCGAGCAATCTGCCTACCTTAGCTGCCTACCTATCCAGCTTTACCTACACCGCGTCTCTGCTGACCGCGCAGTCGAATGACGTCTCCGTCCAGCCAGGGCCCCCTTTCGGCCTTTCCCTCGCTAACTCCAGAGGAATTCGCCTGCGCCTGTCGCGCCTTCGTGGGTCGACTCCATGATCTGGCCAGCGATCCAGTTCATGTAGGTTGGTCCTCCGTTAGGCTTGTGCAAAAGGTAAGGACTCGCTCTTGAGAGCTCTCTTCTTCAAGCGGTCAATATACTGGACCGTGAGGCTAGACTTTCTGATGTCATTTTTCATCCTTTGCTCTGTCGACCTTCTAGACTACTGGCGCTATTCTCAAAATTTCGCGAAGCATTGAAGACCTCACCGGTCAACACATTGACGACGTCCCTCCAGAACTGGGCGAGTCTCAAGAACCAAATTTGTGCGAAGATGATCCTGTTCGTGGAGAAAGTGCTCCTATGTACATCTGCACTATGATCTGACAGCCAACACCAGGAAGCTCTGATTCGAACAACCCAGACGAGTCCCGGATTACATGTAGATTATGACATCCTTCTCTCCCCCGTATACCGCGTTCCCGTCCTATATTTCCTGTTACGGCGTGATGGTCATCCACAGTCGCTAGAGATAGACGCTGTCTATCACCTTCTGGTACCGGACCAGTACAGAAAGGAACTGCAAAGTGTGGGTGTCATGGGTGGCATTAGTGTTGGCGTAGGTGCATGTGCTTTTATTGTTTTTTTTTCGGCATATCAGATCGTTGCGGAGCTCACACTGCGTAGTATCATCCTGAATCTGGTGTTCCGGCATTCTTCGTTCACCCTTGCAACACTGCCGATGCGATGACGCGAATCGCAGGGTGGCGAAAGATCACTGCCGAAACGTATCTCCTCATCTGGCTTGGGCTGGTAGGCAATTGCGTTGGCCTTCGACTGCCGTGTGAAATTTTCGCAACAGATACGCAAGAACCTTTTCCGGAGTTGAATCAGGCGGATTTTGAAGCAAACGACAAACGATGCTCCAGGAAGTTCTTTAGCGCTCCCTCCTAATACTGATCCCTCTCTCTGAACCGGGGATAGCCGCAAGTGACCATGCGCTCTTAATCTTCATCTGACGAGGCTTCCATTGGCACGTCACTGTCCTCGTCCATCGGTGCCTCTTCTTCATCACTTTCTTCCTCACGAGGCCGCTTAGTTCCATGAGCTGCCTGGGCCTCGCCGTTGACCTGCCCCGCGGGTTTCGGGGGTAGTGCTGTGGATCCAGGGGGACCGCTGAAGATCGATTTCTGGAGATCTGTGGAAGCACCTGTAGCTTGGGCAGTAGTAGCTGCGGGGACGTTGTAGGTCCCTCGTAGCCTGGCGATCACATCCGACGTGCCCTTGGCATAGACAATGTTCTGAAATACACCGTGTTAAGACCAATGGCAAGACCCTCGAATCAAAAAGCACCTACCATTTCTTTCCCGAAGAATTCGAAGCCCTGTAACGCGCGCATAGCTTGTGTGCTAGCCTGGACATCCTTGAACACAATATGCGCTTGACCGCGCATTTTCTCAGTTTTCATGGCCACGACGTCCAAGACAGTACCGTAGGTGGAGAAAAGAGTATAGAGCGACAACCGTAAGTCATACTTCCGGAGTTTGTCTGGGAGATTGGTACAATACAGCCTGATTTTCTGTCAGACAAAACCAATTAGCAGTAGGACCAAGGCAGGGAGACTGACGTTTGGTTCGGTACGCCAGCAGGCACAGATTTGTTCTGATTGCCACCGCGTCCGGAGGCCACTCTTGCAGACATGACTCAAAGAGACAGGGATGTGACCGAAATACTGAGACTTAGTGAGGAGAGGCGTGCGAAAAATTCGAGGAGCTTATGTAGTTACTGTTGAACGCGTTTCAATGCATGGACACCATTCGCCCATCTTTTGCTGTGTGGACGTCCTTAGCTCCTTAATCATGTGATGCATTACCTAATCGCTCCGTCCACTTCATTCGTCATCTTCGCCTGGTCCCCCGCATGGCCATTCGAGGTTGTTGCTCTCCCTACTTTGACTATCCCGTACCGCTTACCACATTCCTAATAAGCATCGTTTTCGCATGACAGTAGAGAGCTCCTCCTGTCGTTCATACTACCATGTCTGCACCTGAGGTCCACCATTTGTTTCACAGTCCAATTGCGGATCATTCCTTCTCAAGCGATAAGAGCACCTTGGCTGTTGCACGCGAGAACAATGTGGAGCTTTATCAGCGAGCAGGCAGCAAATTCTCCTTGACCGATGAACTCAAGGGACATGAAAAGACAGTGACAAGCGTTGATATTGCTCCCAATAGTGGCCGTATCGTCACTTGTTCCCAAGGTACACCATCCATCACAGATCCGCAGCCATCCTGACCCCAGCACCAGCTAACCGACCCCTCGCGTACAGATCGTAATGCTTATGTTTGGGAACAAACTCCGACGGGTTGGAAGCCGACTCTAGTTCTCCTCCGGATCAACCGAGCTGCGACTTTTGTGCGTTGGTCCCCATCAGAGCAGAAATTCGCCGTTGGATCGGGAGCTCGCGTCATTGCCGTCTGCTACTTCGAAGAGGAGAACGACTGGTGGATTTCAAAGCACCTGAAGAAGCCCATTCGGAGCACCATCACTACTCTCGCGTGGCACCCAAACTCCGTTCTGCTTGCCGCGGGTTCGACGGACTCTCATGCACGGGTTTTCTCCAGTTTCATCAAAGGTATTGACACTCGCCCAGAGCCAAGCGCTTGGGGAGAACGTCTTCCGTTCAACACAGTCTGCGGGGAGTTCCTTAACGACTCGGCTGGATGGATCCATGCCGTGTGCTTCTCCCCGAGTGGAAACGCTCTAGCTTTCACTGGACATGACAGCAGTGTCACTGTTGTTTACCCCAGTGCCCCCGAACAACCTCCTAGGGCCATGTTGAGCATTACCACGCGCCTCTTGCCGTTCACTAGCCTGATATGGAATGGGGAGAATGAGATCATTGCCGCCGGTCATGTGAGTGCCTAATGATCATTGTATTAGTGCGGAGTCTATCGTGCTGACCCGTCGCTAGGATTGCGAGCCATTCCGCTTCAGCGGCGATGAGAGCGGGTGGAAGCTGGTAGGTGCTATCGAGAGCAAGACGGGAGCCGGAGCTGGCAGTGTGCGAGACGAGTCGGCCCTCAATATGTTCCGCCAGATGGATCTCAAGGGACAGACTCACGCGGACACACAACTTAAGACGATCCATCAGAACACCATTAACACAATTAGGGTGTATGAAGAGACGGGCGGCGCGGTCCACAAATTTAGCAGTAAGTCATACATGCTCCACTATGAGGCACTCCCGCCTTACCGGAGAAGAGTGTCACTAACGGTTGCGTACTAGCGAGCGGAGTTGATGGTCGTGTCGTAGTCTGGACCATGTAGATGTCCGCCCAGCTTACCATACTTCTTCAACAACGTAGTCGACGTTGTTCTGAAATGACTATCCTAGAGTCCGGCACTCAAATCATTGGACATGGTTGACGTATGACTTAGTTGAACAAGTTTGATATCAACGAGCAATCACCAATTCATACGGCAATCACAGTAGACAACAACCGATATGGATAGGCTTATCAACCTGCAAGAAACATATTTAAATATTCAAGGAGCGTTATGCAGCTACTGGAAATTGTACCTACAAATCTGTACTTTTTCCTCTCCGCGTTATTATCGTTGTTTGTTATTTATAATAGCCCAGAGAGGCAGAGGGACCAGTCATTAGGGGACCGAAGTTGACTGGTACGTCATTGGACTGCTCCGCTAGCACAATTCCGGCAATGGAGACCTGTGGATAATTGGATATGGAGCTGAGTCACCTGACTACCCCGGATTCTCGAAAAACGTCACAAATCACGATGACACATCACGAGCTCCATTGTCACTATCTTCCTTAAACACCCAAGGTCGGAGAGCAAGTGCCTGTCCCGCTGTCGATAGCACACAATAAACGATGTTCTCTAGTCCAGGAGATTGAGACTCATGGCATGGGGCGTTTCTCCAATCATGCTTCGCAAGTATTGCCTGGTCTGTCTCAATATTTTCGCCTGCTTTTCAAGTCTCTTCGTTGTGAGCGTGGATGGCGCAATATTTGGCAGGGATGATGAAGGCCAACAGCAGATATCTGAGGAACTCTTTGGCTCACTTGAAGAGCTCGCACGTATCGTCGATGTCTCGTATTGCGTTGGGACCTCTGAAATTCGGAAGCCATTCAAGTGTCTCAGTCATTGTAGCGAATTCCAGGGCTTCGAACTGGTCACCGTATGTTGAATGTCTCTCACTTACATGTTGCCTTTCTGTTGAAGCCTGATCGCTTACATCCTCTCTAGACATGGAATACCGGCCCTTTCCTCTCCGATTCCTGTGGCTACATAGCCCTCTCCCATGAACCATCCCCGAAGCGCGTCATCGTTGCCTTTCGCGGTACTTATTCGATCGCCAACACGATCATCGATCTATCCGCCTATCCTCAGGCCTATGTACCGTATCACCCCGAAAATGGAAGAGAGTCCGACCATTTACAATGTCGGAACTGCACCGTCCATGCAGGTTTTCTGGCCTCCTGGAGCAACACTCGCGCCATAGTACTCGAGCAGGTAGCCGCGGCAAGGGCCCTGTATCCGGATTACAGCTTGGTTTTGGTCGGTCACTCTCTCGGTGGCGCGGTCGCCGCCCTCGCCGGTGTCGAAATGCAACTGCGCGGATGGAATCCACAAGTGACCACTTTCGGAGAGCCAAGGATCGGAAACAAGGCCTTTGTGGGATTTCTGGATCGAATCTTCGATCTGGATGGCTTGGGAGCTGATGCCCAGGACCCAAGATTTCGAAGAGTCACACATGTCAACGATCCGGTGCCCCTACTCCCATTGCAAGAATGGGGTTATGAGATGCATGCGGGGGAGATATTTATTGCTAAGGAGGAGCTCTCGCCTTTACCCCTTGACATCAGACTATGCCAGGGCGACAACGATGCTCGATGCATTGCAGGAACGGATGAAGCTGTAGGACTGATGCTGAAGGAGTTTGATGATATCATTTTGACCAAGCAATACCTATCCAAACGAGTCCAATCACCCCATCAGGCCGTTTTGGTAGATGGGGATCCTCATAGTGGTGCAAATGCCGATGTTGCCGATCGTGAGCAACTACAGACGCCATTCAGCCTGCCTTGGCATCTAATTCCCTCCAAATACCGACTATGGGAGCTGTTCTTCGCACATCGCGACTATTTCTGGCGGCTTGGGCTTTGTGTACCAGGCGGTGATCCAACTGGCAAGATATCTGACATTCAGAACTAGGTCTCCGAGATCACATAGATCCTTTTTTCAGTGTGGTTGTAATGATTTGGATATGCTATCTAGCGGGATAATAAAAATTTGCCTGCCACTTTCGAACAAGAATTCCTCTGACGCTAGCCAGGCCGAATCTTGCGATATCACTCTGTAGACAGAGAGATGCCGATTTGGGAATGAATCTAGCTTCTACTAGCTCGCGCAATGGACCGGGCATGCTCAATGCTGGTTGTCTGCGCAAAGTCGCTCATCTGAGGGACGAGAGGGGTCCAGAAAAGAACCATGACTGATTTAAAACTTGACTTGAGGCAATCTAATCTCGTCGCTATGAACACATAATATATATTAAGAAAAGACAAAACGACGGTGGAGATTGGGAGAAAGAAAGTCATGCATCATCACATAAAACACTGACCCGGGGAAGAGAAAACCCAAAGAACGCTTGAACAGGGCACCGTGCGACGAACCGACGTCACTTCCCATGCTCCAGGCTTGGGACAATGACGGGTCCATACTTGACCACATTCCCATAGGTGCCGTCGCCCTGAACCATGAAGTCGACGGCGAGATTAAGCTTGCCGCTGCCATGGGCCATGTTCTGGCCGTACATGGTGTTCACGACCTCGGGGTCGTAGGCGACGATGGCCACGTAGTTGCGCCGACCCATAAGTTTACGGTATTCGCGCGTTTGGCCCGTGACGTCCGTCTGAAAGATCT